GTGTCGCTGGGGTGGACGTCCAGCGTTCTGGTCCTGCCTGCATGTAAATGGAGACAATGTGGAGACTGGTTCGTGAGAGTCTATGTGTCTGACCTGGGATGTTTATGTAGAAGATCTGGAAGGTCGGTCGCCGCTCGGTGGCCGAAGACGCAAACGCACCTAACATTCAGAGCGACACGAAGGCGCACTCCATGCCATGTGTGTGCGTATCTGCGTCTCCCGCCCCTTATCATTCGTGTGTACCTGTTGTGATGGCCTCGTTGACCTTTGGGAGGAGCGTGATGGCGTCGCCCAGCTTGTTGCGGGCGATGGCCACTGCCCGCTGGAAGGCAGCAGGGCCACTGCCGCACCCCTGGGGCGCCTCGGTGGTGCGGAGCTCGATGTGTGCCGACGCACCAGGGTACTTGGCCATGATGATGCATGCCATGAAGTCGTCGCCCTCCTCGTCGCCACACAGAATGACGACTCGGCAGGAGCCAGCGGTGTGGCCGTAGTCGATGGTGCGGCAGCCCCACACGGGCGGCTGCTGGTCAATGAGCCCAGCGATGCGACCGTGCTCGGCGGAGGGCGGATCCCAGGACCGACTCGACACCAAACGGGACGACACCAATTCCAACCTGAAAGAGCAGGGAGCGAAAAGGCAGACAACGCGACACATTGGTGTGCTGTGTTCTCTCATTTGTGTCGCTGCGTACCTGAGGATGATCCGTCCTCTGAAGCTGCCGAAGTCGTCACCAAGGTCTGCAGACACACAGACACACAGCGGCAGACACCGTCCAGGTCAAGTTGCCTCCTCTGTGGTGCTTTGACCTCCCCTCTCTCACGTCGGCACGGGGGATCGGCGGCATCGAATCGATCTCGATACACAGCCGGCACCGTCTGGTCGGTGTGCACCGTCACCTCATGCCCACCCAGCATCTCCCGCCCGTCGGCCCTGCGCGTCAGCTGCATGTAGTGGACTGGGCTCAGTCGGTGGCTGTAGAGGCTGTACTGGCGGATGGCCTCTGGGCGGGTGTCGATGACGGCTTTGCTGCCCACGTGCTGCAGGTCGTCACCCGTCAGCTCGATGGGCAGCTGCACTCGTCCGAGAGGAAGGCAGCTCTTGGCCAGCCGCAGCACCGGCACGTTGCCCCGCCAGTCGCCGCCCGTCACCATCAGGTAGTGAAGCCGGATCAATCGCAGTCGGCGCACCAGACAACTGCCATGGCTCGACTGGCGCAGCGGGGTGTAGCCGATGACGCCTGTGAGTCCGTTGCGCCGGATGATGCTGTCGATGTCGGCGACCAGGGCGGCCTCGAGTGCGCTGCTGACCGCCTCGGATGTGCGGCAGAGGGCGATCGTGTGCTGTGGGGTGAGGGTGGCGGGATCGTCACGGTGGCCGCTGATGAGGGGCAGCAGGGTGCCGCCCATGACATCAGTGGGCAGGTCAGGCAGGTCGGGCTGGGCAGCACCAGACGACTCTACGGGCGCGTCAACACGGCGGCGCTTCGCATCGACCTCAACCTGCACACACATCACACCACACATTGGCCGTCATGGCAATGGGGACTAGGTGCAGCAGCCCTACCTTCTTGTCTGTGCTAGTGGTCTCTGTGGTTTTCTCAGCGACGGGATTGGCCTCGTCATCGTCTGGCGTGACCAGCGCGAAGGTCTTGGAATGGCCCTCCAGCTGAATCACACAAACACAGGCAGAAGAAGCCACGGCCATTCATCAGTCGACAGACGATGGCTGCGT